GAAATGCAATAGTTCTGTGGCACTATGCCCAGTTTGCATTGGATGTAGTGGGAGGATACAATAGACTTAGAGTCATCATAATTCTCACTCTGTCACCTTCACAGGTACAGTACATATGCAAATGATGCCAGCTCATCTGCTATGTGGCAGACGGTGAGTTAGGGTTGCTATTCATTGCTGAAGGAATACTCATCTCCTTTCCCTCACTCTGACCTTTTCTGTTCAAGCAGATGCAGTGACTTTATAAATTTGGATTAAATTCCACACACTAAACACTATGTCAGTTCTGGAAACACTTTATAAAATAGATAGGGTCATTTTTTAACCATTTGTACCTGTTTTTACATTTAAACATTCTTGAAACAATTATTGTTAATCTACTAATGCACCTAGCTGCATGCCAGAGCAGTGACAAAGGAGAGAGAGATATTTTAAAGCTTATTTAAAAAATTTATATAACGATACTTTGTTCTTTTTATATAGAATGATTAATTAAGAGTTTTTGCTTACGGATTCTAAAACCACATTTAGTTTGGATTTTAACAGATGGCTACTAGATGTTAAAAATACACCAGCTGATTGTAAAAAACCATTTACTGAGAATCAATAACCATGTAATTGGTACTTCATGTATTAGTTGTATAGCTGTTAGCATTTAAGTTTAATGTTAATAACATTATTATTTTATTAATGTTCAGCCTTATAAAGTCTAAATTAAATGCCTATATCTGGAAATTTTAAATCAGAGACTTAATCCAAATTGGTTAATTATCAACACAATAACCCCTCATTTAATATAAGTATAATTTATGATGACTGAACCTAACATATAAGACAAAAGAAATTACTGAGATACTGTTACAATTAAAGTAATTCAGTCATAAAATGAAAGACCAGCAGGCACTTAAAAATTAGTTACATTGACACACAACTCACCTGTTATAGCCAATAAATATGAATAGCTTATTTACACAAACAGAATGCAGACCAGGCACAGTAATTTAAGTTGAAAAGAGATGACATTGGGAGCAGGAAGTATTCTCCTGATGTAAGTAGATGACATAAAAACCCCTATCGGACTGCATTCAGTATCTGATTTTCAAGGACTGACTCACTGCATAAAAGAAGCCTTTTGAGGAAATATTGATCTACCAACCATAATGCTGCAAGCTGTTTGTCCTCCGGAGTGGCATTAGGGCCTGAGTGGGTTTTTAGCCTCACAGCATACCTTTAAGAAAGAGGAAAAGCCAATGTGAGTTAACAGGAGCCCACTTTCTATTATTGAGTGTGCTCCTTATGGAGCTATGCTGATTCATACCATTTGGAGATCTGCCCTATTACATTTACTTTCTTAGTTATCACGAATTGATATGTTTCTGCTTTTCATCTTGTGCTTCGGAGCTATTCTATTAGCTCTGCTTTCTGGCTCTTTTCAAGCAGCAGTAACTCCTTTAGATGTCTTTCTGCTCCCTACCTCTCCCTATGGTGTCATCCTAAAATCTTTTCTCCTGCTGGGGAGAACCCCAACTGCAGGGAGTCCATTCAAAAAGGTTTCCACTGTACTTAAGGGCAAAAGACAGCATGCCACAGAACTAGTGCTCTAGTATTGTCCTCATATGGCATATTTTTGAGTTTGTCTACCCAGGTTTGCTCCTTCAAGCACAGCAGAAGGGAGAATGTGGCTCAGACTATTTTGGTCATACAACATTACATTCAAATTCTATAAATATTAAAAACCTACAGTAGTAGCACTGCTGTTGCAATAATGTGTGTGCTATCTAGTCACAAATCAGTTCCTGGAAATATCAACTTTCAGTTGAATACTTGAGCAGTGAATAACATCAGCACAGCATATAATACTTCTGGGCTTGCTTCCAGAAGAATACCTGTTTCCTGTAATTAGTTGATTGTATTTCATCTTTATTTTGGTTTTCAAACTCTTACTTTGACATCAGTACAAATATTTTTGTGTGAATATTTTCTTTCTCCAGACATTCATGACTAACCAGATCCATTTTTGGACCACAGCTAGCAAGCAGATAAATAATTCACTTAACAACTACACAACGCTCACTGTTTGCATACATGGACATCCAAGCAAAATTCAGTTCCAGAATTACAGCCATAAAGACACTGTGGCTAGGGAAAAAATTACACATAAACTGGGATAAGTGATCAGAAACTGGTTAAAATCTGTAACACAACACAAGTTCAGGACACATAAACCACTTTCAAAATGGCTACAACTGGTTTAAGATAAACCTGGATAAATGCAGCATCAGACTTAACTGATCTAGGTTAAATTTGTTTATTGAATTTCTGTCCTAGATCCCCTCCACATTCAAGTTAACTCACAGTCCCCCAGCATCCCAGGATGCTTTGCAACACCCCTGCAAACCACTCCCCAACAAGGAGGACAGCTAGTTTTGGCCCAAATTGTCTGTTCCAGCTGTGCAGGGAGATGTGCTCTAGCGCCCCCCTGGTTCTGGGCTGAGCCACTGCAGGCATGTGGCTGCATTTCCAGAATCAAAAGTGAATGTCTGTCACCTGCTTATTGGTTTAATCTATGCAGTTTAGACTAACCTGCAAAGACGGAATCTATCCAGCCTCAGGCTCTGCACATTAGATTAATCTAATGGGCAGTAAGGTGTCACCATCTACATGTGAACAGCAATTAGATACAGGTACTAGAAAATGGCACATGAAACTAATGTGCCAAAGTGCATGTGTAGATGATGACTGGGAGCAAATTGCTTCTGGTCGGCCTAGACGTGTCCTGATCTCCATGGGTCTGGGAAAGCTACAACAGATGCTGGGCAGCTGCCTCCCAGCCATGTGGAAATTGGGACCCATCCTGATCTCCATGGAGCAGGGAAAGCTGTTCTAAGAAGACGGGCAGCTGCCTCCCACCCCTGCGCAGCTGGGACAGCTCTCCTGGCCATATGGAGATTGGGATGGATCCTGATCTGGGTGGGGCTGGGAAGCAGCTGCCTGCCAAGCTGGAACAGGTTCCCTTGTTCTCCTGGGGCTTGGGGCCAGCCCCAATCTCCCCATGGCTGGCAGGGAGCTGCCCCTCCAAGCTGGGACAGTTCATCCCACCACCCTGCACAGATCAGGGATACCTCAAGAGCAGGTAGGGGCTGGCACCTATGGGGGCCTGGAGCTCCCCCTGCCTGCAGCAGGGGTGCAGAGCAAAGAAGAAGCAGCCCTGGAGTGGGCTGTTCCTGTTGGGTACAATTTGCTCCTGATGCGGGCGCACATGGAGCCCAATGTGTACCTGATGGGATGGAATGGCCAGGGCAGCAGCTTTGGATGCCACCTTTGAAGGAGGGATGCAAAAATAGCATCCATCACTGTGTGGAGCTGTCCTGCTGCACTTCTGTCAGTATGCAGGCAGAAGAGAGGTCATATTGGGACAGAAATACAGTGGAAGTATTTGTTACAAATCATCAGAGAAATCTGGGTGAAAATACCCACTTTAAAAGTTTTGCAGAAATTTAGTGCTGGTGAAGACTGCATGGCTGACTGCATGACTGAATGCTTTCTGTCCAAGCAACAGATTTCGCCCTGCTGTTAACAGTGCATATTTCTCCACTGATGAGCTTATATTTTGGAGAGATTTCTTCTCTGGGTGGGAGTGTAGCTCAGACTCTATGATAATTCACTCTTTGCTTTCTCTGCTGATAGTGCCAGTAATGGTGCCAGTTAATGTCAGGCATAATGGAGAGAAAGGGGTTGTGACGAAAACACTTGTCCATTAACAGTACATTTTACCTAGGCTTAACAACAGGGATATAGTGGTAATGATTTTGGTTACAACCAGTGGGCATGTCCAGATGAGTGCGTACGTGCATTTCCCCGGAGATAAATAGCAGCAGTACATAGTTGTGCCGCTGCTACTTGTCCCTGGAGAATGCCCATGAATATGGCAAGTTTCCCCTGGGGGGGGGAGAAGTGGTAGGGAAGGCTGGGACCAGCACCTGGGCTGCCCCCAGCAGGCTTACCTGGGATCCTGGGGGCCTCCTGGGGCTTCAGTGGCAGCAATTTGGGCTGGAGTATGGCTCTGACCAGCTAGGCTCTGGTTTCAGGCAGTGCACACTACTTCCACATGTGCCACCCCACTTTTTTGCCATGGGTTTTTTGATACTGGGTTCTCCTGGTGTCAAAAAAACCCACTGCATTGCAAATTAACAGCATGGAAAATGCCTGCATGTGTTGTGTGTGCGGTTTGCAGCACCGCAGACAGATTGGCAATTCCAGAAACCACAAGTGCGTCTTGTCTGGACACACCCAGTGAGGCCTGGGTAAGAACTGATCACCAAACTGTCGAAACTCCATAATTACATTAACAATTGCTTGAATCACTGAGGCTGCTCTAAATGATGAACTAGCTTTGTGAATATTCTTATCTCTAATATCGGCCCATGCATAAAGGCATTCTTGTGTATTAATTTGTCAGTGTGGAAGAAACCTACTTATATTGAATGGAGAAAATACCCAACCCCCACTCTTACCTGATAAGTTCAACTGTTTCTGAGTACATTGTATAAGGGGATTTAGATTCCATGGGGCCTTGTTCCATAGCATTTCCACATTCAATAAATGACAATGCTGCTTCAGCATAATTAAGTGCCTTTCCAAATTTCTCCACCTTGTAGACAAAATAAGGACACAGAGAAATAGTGAAGTCACCACACTATGGTTACAAATGTAGGGATCTTAGAACAAACTATGCATAGATAAGGTTAACTCAAACTGATATGAAATGGACTGTCAAAATCCAGAAGACTTACAAATATTGAAAAGAGGAAGGCACATTGTAAGAAAGAAAATCCTGAAGTCACAGAAATTTATGAATAAAGTTGAACAAATAAGTATGGATAATATAGGAATAGAAGCTGCAGAAGAATCAGAGCCAAAACAGAAAAAGAAAAAAATATTACAATCCAGTAAGCATATAACTTGCCATGCTCATTTGAATATTTCTTTCAATGCAAAACAAAGCAAGGTAAGGATTAGCTTGTAACTAAGACAAATCAACAGCAAATATTGAAACCTTTTTGGGCTCTTGCTATAGGGTTAAAGGAAAATAAACAGGGGATGCATCTACACAAGATGCTTTACTGCTCATTAGGGTAATATAATGGTCAGTAAAGTGTCACCATCTACACATGTGCAGCAATTACTGTGCAGTAGATTAGTCTAATGCACTATTTTCTAGTACCCGTAGATACAGGTTGAAAATTCAGGTGTATTAATTGCATATGTAGCTGCACCCAAGGAGCCTAAGATCTAGAAAAAGATAGAGATGGACCTTTGGGTGAGATTACACATTACAATTAGACCATATTAAAAGAATTCAAAACTTGAATGATCACCCATTAAGGCTTGTTAACAAGTGCTAAGTGCCATCTAGGTGTCTTAAAATTGTGCCACCTAGGGTGAGGATTATCTTTAAATCGTGCTACATAGCTAGAGTTAAGTTAACTTCTGGGTGTTCACCTGGGATAAAACCACCATTTTGCAGTCCTCCAGTATCCCAGAAGGCACTGCTTCCAGCTATCATCCACGACTCTATGGCCCTGGACTAACAGCTGGGCAAAAGGTTGATGGGGATGGGATGAATAGGGAGGGAGGGAGGGAACAGGGGTGAAGGGGGACTGAGGGGGGCATGGGAAAGGGGTGAAAGGGGGGGCAGGATTGGGGGCAGGAGAGAGAAGGGGCAGGGGGATGGGGGAGCAGGTGGGTGGAGAGTTGCTGAGCTTCTGCCCCCTCTGCCCTCCAAATTTCCCCCCACTCTTCCCCTCCACCCCTCCATTCCACTTACTTCCTGTGTTCCCATCAGTCCCCCCACCCCCAGATTGCTGCCTGCTACTCTGATCTGGCTGAGAGTGGCAGAGGTGCCAGTGGAAGGGTTCCTCCTCCCTGCCTCCTCCTGGGGTTCCTGCAGACCATGCTGAACCTGTGCACCCAGATCCAACCCCGCTGGGCCCTGCAACTGAAGGGGAGGCAGGGGGAGGGGGAAGGGGGAGGCAAAGAGCTGCCAGGCAGCTGTGGGGCCTGGTGGGGGCTGCATCTGGATGCATGAAGGCGGAGTGGGCTGCAGAGAGCTTAGAAGCAGGCACGGAGGGAAACCCCCTTCCCTTGCCACCACTGCTCTCTGGCTGACTGGGGCGGCAAGGTAGTAATCCATGGATGGATGGGTTGATTGGGAGGTGTGTGTGTGTTGTGGGGGGGAGGGGGGTTGATCTGGGGGCTGATGGAGGGCAATGGGACTATTTAGAGGGGTGGAGGAGGCAATTCAAGTGGTGCATGGGGCCTTTTTACCCCCTCCTTCCTGGCCTATACTGTGGTTTGAATGCTGCTGAGTGGAGAAGGCATGGAGCAGACTTGCAGCCCCTAGCCACACACCTTTGTTCACTGCCCTCTAGCAGCAGGTCTGAGCAGTGCACATTAGAAAGGGTTTTAGCCCTGAGTGTGTGACTGATCACTAGCACTAGCTAACCTTAACACAGACTAATATCCCTTAGAATTAGCACCTGCTAACTCTAATATGTAATCCCACTCTTTTTTCCAATCCAACCTGGACTAACACTAAAATACTGACATTTTAAAAATCACAGTTCATTTTGGTTCCTTTTCTCATTCAGCTTTTGTATATTATCGTGTTTCTGTCAAGGAGCAGAAAGAATTGTATGAAAAGCCTGTCCTTGTGTGAAATTTTCTGCCTAATTTCTAGATTAAAGAATATTAGATATGCTGGGATTAGCTTTCAGAAGAACTTCCAAACTTCGGATGCCTCCTTACTCAGCCTTCCTAACTCTATGAAGTAGTCTAGAACCTAAATATAAACACTGATACTATGTAAAAAGAACTCAGTGGATGCATCTACATGTGCTATTAGTGCAAAGAAATAAGCTCTGGCTCAGTTCAAGCTGGAGTCAGCTGCTCCTGGGTGCAGCGTTTACACATGCACCTGGAACTACAGCACTTTGTGCCAGGATGGAGCAGTCCGGGGCTGGCAGGGGGCCCAGGGGGTCTGCCCCAGGCTCCGAGTGGTGGCATCAGGTGGCAGAGGGGCTGGCTGGGACACAAGGGTGCTACAGTACAGGACTAGCCAGCAGACAGACCCTGCACTTTAGCACCCTTGTGGCCCATCTACATGTGCATTTTGGCAGAGTAAATTACTCCACCATAGGATAGTACAGTCTTTGTAAAGGACAGTACTATCCTACAGCAGAGTTAATTAATTTACTGCACCCTAATACTGGTGCACGTGTAGAGTGTGATGCTTTACTGTGGAGCTAACTAGTCAACTCTGCAGTAAAGCACACGTGTAGATGCACCCAGTGAGTATCACTCTAAAACCCTTAGATAGATAATATGCATTTATTTTTAAGATTTTTAAAAGAATAATGAGTATTGGATAGGATACAAGCAAATCAGGTATAGAAACATTACATGATATCAAATAGTAATCAGTGAGGTGTCTAGTATAAGAAAAATACACAGAATTAAAAAGATCTACAAAAGAAGATGAGCATCACAGAAATAAAAGGTGCTTCTACAGTATAGAATAGAGTATAGAATTCAGTATAGAAGCAGGAGGATTAGAGGCAAAGAAGAAAAAAAAAGAGAGAGGAGAGAGACATCAGAAAAATATAACAACTCAGTAATGGTTGCTTCTCATTCATGTTTCAGTGTTAATCCAACAAAGATAATGATTACTTCGGAGCTAAGAAAAATAAAAGCCATGGTAAAAACATACTAAATTAGGATATAGACATTTAATTTAGGAAACATCTCTGAAAATCTGAGCCTTTGAATCCTGAATACTTCCAAATTCTTGCCAGAGGGAAGTAATCACAGAATCTATGGGGAGTATAATTCTCTAAGGGAGTATAATTCCCTAAGTAAGAACAATGTGTCATCCCCAGGCTGCTCTCAAACTAGTGTGAAATCAGCGCCAAGCTCAGAAGTAGCTTTAATAGTTTTATATCTAAAACAGTGATCTCATCTGAAATCCTCCTCACTGACTTTTTCTCTTAGCCACTCTTCAATCTCCTGCCCTCACTACTCACTGGCGAAGGTTACTTTTGACTTTAGCTACTAAAAGGTTCACCTCTGTTCTATTTCCCCTCTCTACTACTTTTCCCCTCTTTGCTACCTTCAGCACAGTTAATCCCTTCCTCTTTGGCTTTCTCTCTTTTGTTGACTTGCTTGATTGTGCTCTCCAGGTTTTTTCCCCTTTTATTGATTTCTCCTTCAACACTTCCTTCAGTGGCTCTTCAACCTCCCATTTCCTATCCTCTGTTTTTATTGTTAGGGGTTTCTGTCTTCAATCCTTTGTTATTTTTACGTCTTTATGCTCCCACAACTTCAACTACTTACTGCCTCAATGTGTATGAATCTTCAATATATATGAATCCCTCTGCCCTGACCCCTTTTCTCTTTAAACAGAACCCAGGCAATATAGAGAGGCATAAAACTCATGAGGGTCCTGGAATTACCTGGTAGATTTTTTTTCCACAAAATGAAAGGTGAAGTAGTATTCTTTCCTAAGGGATAAGGATTTAAATGATAACTCTGGAATGGGGCACTGACTTCAACCTATTTTAGGTACAATGGCTCTCAGTAATGTAATACTAAACACTTTGTAATTTTAAAAATAGATTTATCTTACTAGCATCTCTGTAAGGGTTGGATATCCTATTACTCTTACTTCATACATAAAGAACTGAAGTAGTGGAAGAGACCAGGGTCCAAATCCTACTATACTTTCATGGGCCTAAGTCTGTGGTGGAATATGATTGCCAAGGTGTGTGCCTACCCAAAGAAAGTGGAATCCTCTTATCTTAGCCCAATAGCCTAGTGATTACATTGCCCAGAGAGTGGGAGATGTGTATTCTAGGCTCCCAGATGGGGTATCTTCTCCTCCCCACCATGTCACAGGCCAGGCATGGCACAGAGCACTCTCTAGTCCTCCTCATGAAATTTGGCCGGCCAACTAGGGCAGCCAAGGGGGGAAGCAATGTGGATCTGAGAGGAGGAAAGCAAGCCAGAAGGAGCTCCTATACACTGTGAGCCTGTTCTGACACGATATAATTCCAGAGGCTGCTGGAGTGAGGAAATTAAAAGTGCCCCACCGCCATTTTTCAGTGTTGGGACACTGATACATGTGAAGCTCTGAGTGCTTTTAATTAGTGTGGCTCTCGGAGCTGCACTAATTAAAGTACCCCCCCCTCCCCCGAGCACATGTATAAATGCCCTCGGGGTAGCTGAGAGGGGGAGGAGTCCTGGGTGCTGACTGGGGGGTGCTGAAATGGAGGTAGGCAGGTGCTGGAACGATGGCAGGAGACTGGAGGCTGCAGTTGTGCAGAGCTAAAGCAGGTGTGTGGCAGGGGTAGTTGCTGCAGGGGAGGTGACCAGCCTATTTTACTGCGCATTAAAGCGCCATGTAAAAAACTGCGATTATACTAATGTGCAGTAAAACAGGCTACTGTGCATTAAGCGTCTCTTAAAAACCAGGCACATTCATTACTGTGTCTTAAGGCAGCCTAATGTGCATTTCTTTAATATTTCACCTTGGAGGTACTAAATTTAATGTGCATTAGAAAAAGTGCCTTAATGCACGTGTAGATGCACCCAGTTTACTTGAGTGCACTGAGTTACAAAAACCAGTGATTTCAAGCCACTTTTCTGCTCCTTTGAACCTGAGACAGTACAGGGCAAAATGCCTCTGGTGGTCTAAGTTAGGGCATGTATACATGGCACAAAGCAATGCTGTGTAAAGCTACCCAAGCTAGCTAGCTCAACAACACAGCTGTGTTAGCGCAATGCTCTGCCTAGGCTCAGATGCTGAGCTGTTCATCTAGCACTGTGCTGCGTTTACGTCCCGCTCAGTCAGTCAAACACCAGAACTATCTGGCCACTTTCCTGATGCCAGCAAAATTGAAAAAAAAAAAAAAAAAAGCAGTTTGAATGGGAACTTGCAGAAAAAAAAGCATCCATAGACTGGATTATGTTAAACATGGCTTAGACAGGGACTACGGATTCTTATCCCATTACCTGGATTAGTTTTTGTGATCCCTTTGTTCCTATGGGTTCGTTTTTGTTTGTCCCCGCACTTCCTCTCTCTCCTCCTTCCCACTTTTCATGTATTTGTATCACTAACTCCACTTTATACACTGCTCTGTTCTTGCCCTTTCACAGCTTCTGATGAAGTGAGTTTGAATTCACAAAGTCCTATGCTCTCTATATATCTTATTTAGTCAGTCTATAACAGGGGTGGGCAAAATACAGCCTGTGGGTCAGATCTGTGGCAAGGCATTTTGTCCAGCCTGTGGCAGCCTGTCCAGCCCTTAGCCCCATCCAGCCCAGGTGTGGGTGGCAGCCTATGCTATGGCTTGTAAAACTGGTCCCACTGCCCCTTGGCACCCACCAGGGCTGGGGTGGCACAGCAGCCAGAGTCCATTTCCTGGCAGCACCTACAGCAGTGGCTCCTTCTGGCTGCTGCTGCTGGATCCTGCTCTGCTGCCCAGGCACTCTGGCCTGTCCACCCTGCACCTACTATCAGGGGTGCCAGATGGAGCAGGTAGAAGGGTTCTCTATGTTGACTGGGCAGGAGCAGCATGGACAGGATGTGTGCTGCTGGATGTTGCCATGGGCGGGCGAGGAGCAGTTTCTCGGAGCAGGACAGGTGGGTGTGGGTGGCAGCGTGGCTGGAGATTGGGATCAATGACAGTGCAGGGCCGAGGCCTGGGGCAGAGCTGCCACCCCTCCACCCCATGTCCCTGAGATGGGTGCTGGTTCTGTGGGCAGGGTCATGTGGGGAGCAGATTGAGGGAGCATGGGAGCCACTTAGGGAGTTTTGGTGAACTGTTGTGGTGGGGCTGCTGACTTGGCAGAGCAGGGAGTGATGACCTGGCCTGCAACAGCTCACTCAAACTCCCTAAGTGGCCCTCCCACCAAAATACACCCTTGGTCTATAAGATGCAAATTTACCCTGCCTTCATACTCCTGACCCCAGGTCTGCTGTTCACAAAACAAATCCTGCTTGCTGACTCCTACCAAGACATACCAGGGACATTAAGAGCCAAGACATACCAGGGACATTAAGAGAGTAGGTAGCTAGAGGACTAGAGGGTGCTCTGGGCCCAGGGTGGCCAAACTGTAGCTCGCTGGCACGGTACTTGTGGCTCTTACCCCGCTTTTTGAAGCTCCATTCACTTTTCCCGTGATTGCCGGCTCAGGTGCTGGGGCAGCAGCCACACTGTTTACCTGAGCAGGGAAAGCCGGAGTGGCTCGACACGGTGGTGGTGGTGGTGGGGTAACTCAGCACCTCCCCCCCACAACTCTCTCACCAGGTTGCTCAGCACCCCTCCCTCCCTGCTTGCTCTCCGGCTCTTGAACTTCAGTGGAGGATTGGATGTGGCTCCCAGGGTGAGAAACTCTGGCCACCCCTGCTCTGGGCAATGCCTAGCCTGTGACCTGGTATTTAGAGCACTTTGCTGCGGAGCAGGAAAGGCAGATGCCACCCCGGCCCCCACACTGGGGTGTGGGGGCAAGTGACCTTAGGCTAGAGGGCTAAAAGGAACAGCCCCAAACAGCCCCAAGCACTCCCAAATGCTGCTGTCTCAAGACACATAGCTGGAGCAGGGCCTGTGAAATGGACTCAGAGCCACTCCAAGCTGTCTCCTCTATCACTCTCCGGTAGTCCTGAGCGGGAGTGACTAGGCAAGGATTACCATATATTCACCCAAACAGCATGTCCCCCTATATAATATACAGCATGCCCTCACATATAATTCAAACCTTGTTTTTGAAAAGCAGCCTGAAGATCAAATATCTTCCTTTGTAGTAGCTAAGCCTGCTGCTAGATGGGGTCTGTGGACCGACATGGTGTGCTGTATTTGGGGACATGCACCAGGTTCAGGGCCACATGCTGAGTGGGACCCAGTGTGCTGGGTCCAGGGCTGCATGGCATGTCATGTCTCAGACAATCCTGCATGCCAGCCAGGTCTTGTGCATGAAACCATGTCATCTGACCAGGAGGCTCCCCACAGCTATGCAAATTTGGCGGTGGGGGAATGGTCGCAGTGTGGTTCCCAGAGCCATAGCAATTAACAATGCCACTGCTTTCCTGCCACCAAATTTCCAGATGCGTGGGTGCCAGGGGCACTAACAGGCATCCCAGCCAGGATTAATTGCCCAGTTGGCTAAGCCTGCCAGTCTCCAACTGGTGACCTCACCCCCCGGGCTGATGAACCAGCTGGCCACTGTTAGGGCCTCCTGCTTGGCTGCTGGGGAGAGTAACCTCCCCATTTACCATATTTATCCAAATGCAAGACAACTTCAAAGTTAAGGTTACTTCTCAGTAGTTAGATTCTATATGTGGAAACTTCATAAATTTGTTACAATATTTCATGTACAAAATCTAATTATTGGAGGGTCATCTTAAATTTACCCTCCCCCACCATTTCTACAACAAGGGAAAGCAGCGGCAAGGGGACAGGCAGTGGGAGAGACAGGTAGTTGGGGGGCAAGCAGACCCCTTGCCTCCCCCCACCACTTGTCCTCCATGTAGTCTGTACCCATGGTATCTGCACTCTGTCACCTTCCTCTGCTGCCTGCCCCTGCATCCTCTATGCTGATGCCCCCCAGCACCTGCCCCCCCACGGTCCCTATGCCCCTGTTGCTGCATCCCCTGTCTGCCCTCTGCAGTCTCTGCCTCTCAGTGACTCCCTGCAGCCTCTTCCCCACTGCAGCTTCTGCCTCCCTGCCTACCCACTGTTGCCCTCCACAGTCTGTTCCACCCACCAGCCTCTCTGCCCCTTCCCTACCCAGCTACTTCCATGGAGCACATGGATGCTCTCCCATTCTCTCCCAGGGCACACAGCACATGGAAGCTTTAACCCTGCCAAGCCATGCAGCAGTAGTAGTGGCAGCCCTGGCCCTGAGATACTGCTGCAGGCCGGGCAGGGGCCAGAGTGTCATAGTTTCATAGCTGCCAATACTACTGCTGCATGGCTTGGCAGGGTTAAAGCTTCCATGTGCTGTGTGCCCTGGGAGAGAATGAAGCTGAAGCCATGCCAGACAGTAAGCAGTTGTGGGGGAGGGACAGGGAGGAGGACAGAGGCTAAGGCGGGCAGGCAGGTAGGCAGGGAGGGGGCAAGTGGCTGCTGCAACTCTGACTCTGGCCTGAAGCCCAGGTCTGGGCTCTGATCTGGGTCCGGGGCCAGTTGGAACTGCAGCAGCAGCCTGCCCCTTCCTCTGCCTTGTACCTGAATCCAAGATGAGGGACTTTCCCCTATGCTGAATGGAGGGAAAAAACTTGCCTTGGATTTGAGTAGACATTAATTCCATGTGCAGCAGCTGGTTGTAGGCCAGCCAACAGCACTTGCTGAGGTTCTACTGTGGTAAGATTCCTTGGAGCCTACACTCTTGGTTTTCTGACATCTGACCATGTTTGGCCCTGTTTCTGGACTCTGGTTATTTGGATATTCCCCTTGATTTAGGTAACTCTGATTTGGCCTGTAACTTGGACTCTGTCCTTAGAATTCCTCCTTGGTTTGGTAATGTGGTTTCTAACTTAAAACCCTGGCTCAGCCAATAACTTGGACTATTGTCCTAGGTGAAGATCTGCAGCAGCGCTATGAGCTTTGTCCCATGGACTTCTATTCTTTGTATAACTCTCTTCTGTCTCTGAGGAACCTCAATGAGAAGTGGGGAGGAATGCCTCCTTTGTCTTCCAAATAGTCTCCATTTCCCCTTTGTTAGTAGAATCCTCTGCTGGTTTTTTAAAGCAGCTGAAGTCTGGGTCAAAAATGTGTTTAATGCCCTGGTATATTGTGTGAAAGTGGCTACCTTGGAGTTATGCAAAGGTCTGATAAGGTAAATGACTACTTGTGTGTTACTATTTAGTTTGGACAGTACATGTAAAAGAAACGGTCATATCTGGCACTGGAGTGAGGGGCTTTATCCAAAGCCCTTTGGGATTAGTGGGTCGCTCCTATGGCCTTTGTGAGCTTGGCAGTGGCCACCTAGCAGAGTTCTGTGGTTTGAGGCTAGAGCCTAGCCAGTTAATTGTAGAGACAGCAACCCCCAGACTCAAACATTTTGGAAATCTCACTGAGTCCCTATTGCTCTAGTTACTAATTAAAGCAAAGGAATAAATGGAAATTTTCATTTATCCAAGCCTTTATCTCAGTAAGCCATTATTTGTTAAGTTATAGTTTATTGGGCTATGAACACCTGATTATATAAACATTTCTTAATTTAACAAGCCCAGCCATCCCTATAATAGCTTTTATAATTACCCCAGCTATACTGCATTGATGAAGAGGCTGCATTACAAATATAATTTGGAACAATGTATCTAGAAGGAAAATGTTCTCACCATTGCATCTGCTTTATGTTTCTTCCGTTTAGCTTCTTGCATAAAGTAATCTGCATTGCGTGGCCTACAAGGGGAGAATAAGAATATGCATTATTATAATTTGTGAAGTGTTAAGTATTTCCAAGTTATTTGTCCCTTATTTCAAATCTGATTTGCAAACATTTTTGTGAAGAAAATGCACTTAACATGAAACTGTGCATTTTGCTCTTCCAAATTACTGCGTGTGAAGACAATAGCATTTATAACTGGTCTTTTTCTTTACAAATTAGTGATCAAAGCAAAACAATATGCTAATAAAATTTGTTTTTATGGATTATATAGACTTCTTCCCAAATTAGTAGAGGGCTGAGCTGCAAAGCAGGAATAAACACTAAACAGGACAGGCAATCCCATCTCTTGATCTTTCTTCTATACTCACCCCCTCCTTTACTCTTTTGCTTACCCGCTTACCATCCTCTAGCTCAGGACTGTCCACTTTGGTATGGCCAGGGGCTGCAAGTGGTGCCAGTGTGTGGCCCCTGGGCTGCACACTTCATGGACCACATGGTATGGGAACAGCCCATATCTAGCATCCCCCCTACAACTTTGGGCCCCTGAGCTCTTCTTCACCATCCAGCAATGGGAGAGGCTGCCACCAGAGCCCACAGGCCACCAGTTGGACAGCCCTGACTTAGCTCTCTCATCTCACAACACATGCTTTAGTTTTCTAGCATTTTAAACAATTTACCCTTTACCTTACTTACCTGCCCCATCTCCCTTTTTCCTTCCAGCTCTAAATGTATTGAGCACACAATTGCAACTGCAGTTTAGGACTTGTTTCTTGCAATTTCACCCTAGACTTCCTTCAATATCACTTCTGTCCCCTGCCTTCTGAATCTGCTTTTTGCCAAATTCTCTGGTGACTCCTTCTTAGCCAAATCTCCAAACCAGCTCTCTGATTCCCGTTAGCCTTCTTTCACATGGTTAACCAGGCACTTATTAAAATCTTGTTCTTCCTCAGTTTTCATGACTCCGCTCTCTCCTGGCCTCCCACTTGCTTGCTAATTGGTCTGTTGGTGTGTCCTTTAGTAGATATTCCTTCACACCCCCTCAGTATCTCAGAAGGCATCACAAGCCTTGTCCTTGGATCCATTCTCTTCCCCATTTACACCTTATCTAGGTATAATCTCACTTAAAAACACTCTT